TTGTTCCAGTCTTATGTCCTCATTTTCTGTCATGGTTTGGGAAACTGGATGCTGAGCTACATAGGACTTTGGTCCAATCAATCCTATGTTGCACAGTCAGGTAACTTTGATTAAACTCTGAAAAATACAATTATAAAAGCCCAATTAAGTTCAATTTTACTTTTAAAAAAAACCAAGAAACACCCCCCCACCAGCATGGTTGCATAAAGACCAACTGAGAGGGGGGGGGGGAAAGTACAAACAAATAGAAGGAGGGATGAAACAAATAGCCCAAACTTGCAAAGCTGAAGTTAGGAAGGCTAAAGCTTTGAACGAAGTAAGACTTGCAACAAATGTCAAAAACAATTTTAAAAAGTTTCCACATATAAAAAAACAAGAAAAAAACCCAAAGTCCATCATCCACTAATGGAAGGAGTTGGCAAAGAAGTAACAGGCAGTATAGAGAAAACAGAAGTGCTTAATTCATAGTTTGCATCAGTCTTCACTCAAAAAGAAAATACTTACCAAAAACAACTGTAAAAGTTAGGAATGCATATTAAAAGTGGTCCATGCCTGTGGCAGCCGCAGCCCTTGGGGTGCAAGAGGGGGTGTTGCTGCCCTTGATGTGAAAGCTCCAGTTCCTTCTCTTCAGATCACACATCCCTGCCAAGCAGAAACAAGTCACTAGTGAAATGAAATAGGTGGTTATGGGTGGGGGAGATCAAACTGAAATTTATAACAATCACACAGAAAAAGGGGGCTTTGAAATAACAATTCAAGCACTTTGATTAGAGCATAACCCTTGCCACTGAAACGTTACCTGTTTTGTTGCATTGACTTTGTTGTCCCTCTCAGTAGAATTTGTGGAAGAAGGAATAAATGATTTCTGCAAACTTTCTGGCCTGAGACAGCTCTGCTCTGTCTTGTCAAAAGCACTTTTAGGATTAAGGCTTCCTGATGATTAAAAAGACTGATGGAGGGTTCACTCCCAAAGGAAGGAACCGCATTTAACCCCAGCAGGGCTCCATTCCCTTCAGAAGGAGAAGAAAAATGCCGTATTCCCTTTTGCAGCCTTAATATCTGGAATTCAGGACACCAGGAAGGACAAGCCAGAGAAGTGCTCAGTTCCAGCTGAGGGGTCAGAGCTGGGGAGGCTCAGTTCAGGGCATGAGCTGGCAATGGGGGACTGGTGCTTGTCCAACAAACCAGGTTAAATTGTGCTTAGCTAATTTGGGAGATAATTTTTTTTAATAAAAAATGAGGTTTTGAGTATATGGTGCACTCAGAATAATTTTTTTGCTAGTAACAAAGATATTATCTGGCACAAGCTGTTCTGGATGCTTGAAATGTTAGAATCAGAAAAACCTTAATTCAGTATTTCTCATCCTTGGCAGCTTGAAGATTTGTGGACTTCAACTCCCTGCTGGGAAATTTTGGGAGTTGAAGGTCACACCTCCTCAAGTTGCCAAGGCTGAGAAATTCCACCGTAAGTGATATTCATCACCTGATTGTGAGAATGAAGCCACGATGTTAGCCTGAAGTCACTTAGATTTGGCTCCTCTGCGTAGAAGCTATTCAATTTCAAATAAATGGAAGCTGGATAGCAGAGTTTGTCCTAAGTTTAGCAACTGGAGAAGGGTCAGTGCCAAAAGAAGCCCGGCTGCCATTTCAAAGCTGTTGTTTCCATTACAACCACATTTTCCATGTAAAAATGGTCAGATTAAGGGGGAAGGGAAAACTCTTAGTGGCTCCCAGCTGGATGCAGCCCATTTTCTTTTGTTGCCTGGGTGGCAGCTGTCCAAATCCCCTCCCATCAGAGTTACTCCTGTAGTCCTTCATTGGCTCATCCCTGAAAAATCCAAGAACCTTCCCCTGACGTCACTTTGCCATTAAAACCCTCCAATCCCCCTGATAATTGTTTGGAAAAGGTGCAATTGATGTCAAACAGTCTGATAATCTTGTATTTTGAATCCATTATCTGACTTATTCCATGGTCATATGGTGTTCTCCCGGGAAAAGGCATTTGCCAGCTGCTGTGCGAACAAGGCTGGATGGGGAAGGTGGGCAGACGCCTTTTTGCCTCTCTAATGTTCACCTATCTGCTCCGGGCCTTTTGGGGCAGAACTGAACAACCAGCAATCATTGTTTAGGTTTCTAAATTGCCTGGCCAAATGATCAAATCTCTGCGACCTTTAGAAACTTTCTGCTCTCCTTCCCACCATTAACTTGCAGAGCAATTTTAGCTGATTTAGCTTGCCACATTAAAAGTAGGGATGCTAGATGAGGAGAGATCCCTCCTATTCACATGTCCAAATGTGGGGACTGGGGGCGGTTGGGAGCCTTAAGGATAGGAGAAGAACACTTTGCTCTGTAGAAAGTTAGCACCCACCCTTCTCCTAGAAGAATGAAACATTGTAGGAAATATTAAAAAGGAAGAATATTACACCTCCCTGGATGAGAAAAGGAGAAAAGTGCTCTTGGAAAGCAGCCCCACCTTTGTTAATAGCCCCAGAAAGACTGAGCCATGCTATCTGCAAGTCAAAAGACCTTCAGCTCCAGGGTGATGGGATTAGCCCTCACTCAAGATCCAAACCAAGACAAAGCCATTCAGTCATAATAGGAATTGCCCAAAGCCCCTTCATTACACCACCCAGCAAGATTAAACCAAGCTTGGGACTCAAGACAACCTACAAAGTTACCCTTGTGTGGCCCCATGGGAGTCTGACAACCAACCAGGATACATTTCTTGCCACAGGAACAGGAGGCAAGTTCCAAGCTCAACAGAGGTTATGAATCTCTCTCCCTCTCTCACCCATGTGCTTCTTTTGCCTAGGACCTCAAATCATGTGGTCCTGCTGTCCACCATTAAACCATCTTTCCAAGCAATCGCCAGTGTCTTTCTTCCCACTTAGAACTGAATCCAGATGGACGTTTCTTCCAAAAGCTCCATGGAGGTTTTCTCCTCCCATTCCCCCTTGCTTTTCAATCCTTTAAACATCAAGGCAAAGGGAGGGGGACTTTGAACCTGCTCCTTCCAAATGATGCCAGTACGGAGGCTTCCCTGAATGAGGGTAGGGTGCCAGAAGGTGCTGCCCACCTCATACCAGGAGCTTCATCTGGATGCTGAGGACATTTTTCCTGCTGCACAGATGTCCAAGAGGGATTGTTTCATTTCAGGGCTGTGTTTCACAAGGTTTCTTTCATGGCAAGACTTGACGGCAGGCAAGGCATCCTTGGAGCCACCTGAGTCTCACCCTAATCTTCTCATTTGGCCAGTCTCCACAATCAGAAGCTTCTTCCCAGCTTCTTCTAGCCAGGTATCTCAACACTGGGCTGGCAGCGATGCTTCAGGACAACCAAGTCTCTAATCATCATGAAGGACATTGAGAGGTGGTCACTTTTTACTCCTCCCCTTTTTTCATATCAAAATGGAAATAAACCCTTCACAATAGAACCACTAGGGACCAAGACATTGTGGAGAGATTTAAGGGAAGGGTCTTAACATCTACCTAGTAAATTGCAAGACTTTGGTGTCCCTTGCTAATTTTGAAGAAGCTAAAAACCCAGTTGGTATTTAGATTGGGGACCTCTGGGAAACCCCAGGGGTGGGGAAAACATCCAGGGAGAAGGGGCTAGCCGGCCACTTCTGTACTGCTGCAAGAAAGCTACCTTATATTCCTGAGCTCAGCTTGAAGGGGTCTTTGTTCTTTTAGTCAACTTCTACCCTTTTCTGCTTGCATCCACCGATGTGGCTCAGGAAGGGTGTGAAAAACCCCCAAATCATAGGCCAGGTTATCTTGAGACTCCCCTCTCAGTCTCCAAAATGGGAAGCCTGGGTTAAACGGAGGGTTCAGGTGTGGCAATTAGTTTAATGGATGAGGGGTCTGTTCAGGGCTAAACGTAATGTCCTAGTGGTAATTGGGTCGATTAATCCTGTTCTGAGGTTCCCACAGTGCACTGATCCACAAATGACCCAGTTACATGTAGGGTATGTGACAAGTGATCTGATAGAGCTGTGCAGATAGGAAAAGGAATCTAAATACCCTCAACATGCATCCCAGAAATGAGAGTGGAGTCTGGTGGGGCTTCACCCACAACTTCCACCCTCATTCTACAGCTGAGCTACAGATATTTGCCATGATCGCAATCCCTGAAACTGAGAATTGGAGGGTTTTTTTGAGTCAGATGATGCCTGATCACTAGACAGGTTTCCATGTAGTTTTTGCAGCAACATTTTTAGAACTAGTTTGCTAAGGAGACTAGAGAGAGGAACTGGTACAGAGCCCCCAGGGATTTTCTGTTCAGAGGGGGATTTGAATCAGATCTGACCTGTTTGTTTTGAATATTGTGGATCTAGGTAACGGTACAGAAAAAAATGATTTGTTTATATAACACATACATTGGCAGGAATTCAACTGCCTATATTAATGCATCAGTGGGAGGGGTGACCTAGCAGAATGAAGTTGGGTCTATTGGTGGACCCTCTCCCACCCCAACCAAAATGAGAGTTGATGGGCTTCAACCCATCTGGGAGGAGCTGATCTGGCAATGTTTTCTTTTGCTGCTCCCTGTGTACCTCACCCGCTGGGATTCAATTAAGTTGCCATCCTCAGGAAAGGTATCTATGGTACCTGAACTTCAGAGGTCACCATGGGTCCACCTTGGGTTGCATCTCCAGTCTCCTAATGAGGCATCTGATGTAGCTTTGCAAATTCTTTGGCTTTGTTTCTGGAGACATTTGGAGACATTGTTCCCAGAAGTAGTCAAAGAGCATCCTTGCTGTCTTTCGCTCTCTCTTCCTCCCAGCTTATCTTGACTGCCAACTGTTAATCGGAGCACACAGCCCTGGGGGAGGAGAGATTTCTCATTATCGCCCCCCTCTTTTTTCTTTTGGGAGGCAGCTGGGCAGCCTGTACATTAATAGATTAGTTTCAAGATTTGAGATCATTAATAGCCAGAAGAGGAGGAGGACTTCAGCAGGAATCCTGCTTGGATATTGTGTGGTGCAGTTGCCATCCACATCAGTGAGGAAAACCATCACAACTTTCATTTGGCCTTAAGGAGCTGCTCTTTCTTCAAGGTAGAGTAACAGTTCATTTGCTTTTATTAGACGGTCATGATTTCAAAGCCTTTACCCCTTGCAGGAATGGAATCCTCAATCTTCCATGTACCTAAATGCTCAGAAAGAGTTTAGCTTTGAGTGTCAAAATGCTGATGATAAATACAAGGTAGACCTTGATACATTTGCCTCTGGGTGCAGATGTTAGACTAGCTGAACATTTTCTTTGATCCCATTGGTGGCCAAGTAAGTTTGCATTCTATATTTCTGAAGTAATGGATTGAGATTTGGTTCCAATTTTTTGACAATTTACTTATTGGAGGATTTATTTTGAAAAGAGTGCTGACTTTGCTTGGCTTCTCAAGACATGTGAGAGACAGTGCAACTGATATCACGGTGGACATGGGGATCAGTCATTATTGAGTTTACTTCCGCCTCTCCCTATTTGTAGTGCTCAGCATTCTGATTCTTTTAAAATTTGCTGCATGGTGTTTGTCCCTTGAACTGAGGTCCTTCAGTGCCTTGGACACTAGTTTTAGTTCCACCTGTGAAGGTGCTTGGGAGGAAGTTAGGCTGAGGGAAGATCTCATCATGCCTAAGGTCTCTTGCTGTGTTCAGGGCTAAACATATGACCTGGATTTTGGTATTCTTTCAAAACAAAAAACTCCATGACATTTTGAGATGGCACCTCCTGAGAAATCTTGCCTGCTTCAGGCTGCCAGAGCAACCAAAATGAGATGTGGTGAGGTGAGATGAGATACTAGCTCAGAACATCTGGAAAGTCTGGTGGGGGACCCTAAAAACCTATCGGCTTCCCTTCATTGGATGAATTTGGTTTTCCCTACATCAAGTAGCAGCTTGCCCCTGATGCCCCCTCCCTCTCTAGGAGGCCCAGATCCTCTTCCTCCGGAGAAAAGCACCTTCCATTCAGTCCTCCTCACCTGCAGTTCTGCAAACAGATCCTGGCCAGAAGTGCCCCATTTCCTTGTTCTGAACGCCAGTGACAGTAAAACAGTTCCTGCGATTTCACATGAGTTCATCTGCTTTCTGTCAGGGACTGTGCAGCAGGTTGGGTTTCATGTGGGACTATGGACCAGCAGGACGAACCAACGGACAACATTGTAGAAGGGATCATTAGGGTTTTTTTAATCAGCTTTTCTGGTTGCTTTCAAACTAATCCAGAAAAGTTATACAAATGTAGCCAAAGCAGGTCATAAAATTCACTGAACTGATAGCTGCAATACACGTAGATGATGGGGAGATTAAAATCAGAGGAAGAAGCCATGGAAGCACAAGGTGTGACCAATGCCAGGTTGACTCTATTTGGTTTCCTTACCCTAAAAAAAAAAGAGTTATTTAAAATGTGAACATATGTAGGCCTGGAAAACGTCCATTGGAGATTTTGATTATAGTCAGCAAGTTTCAAATACTGAATATAGTCCACGTTTTTCTCACAAATGAAGGCGAATGTACATGTCCCAGGATAACGTGGCAGGATCCAATATGTGTCAGTCACTGGGACGAGAGATTTAGTCTTCTGAGTTTTCGGACTCATGCTGGAGCCCATCCTGAGGGAACTTCTCTCTTTGGGCTCTTCTGTGGGTGGGGTTTATATGGTGCCTGGTTGTGTGGGGCTTTTTAATTGTTGATGGAGGTGTTGATGGCCAGCTATTAAGTCACTGGCTGGCTGTTGTTTCTTGGTGTTGCCAAGCCCTGCTTGCCTCCTGCGTGCTTGACAAGCGAGTGGTAAATCAGCACTCCGGTTGAGGCTGCTTGGCAGCACAAAGAAACAGTGACCAGTGACTTAAGAGCCAACACCCCAACCCACAACTAAAAAGCCACACACAACCAGGCACCATATAAACATCACACACAGATTAGCCCAAATCGCGCACTCTGCTAGAGAGATGGGCTCCAGCACAAATCCTAAAGTTCGGAAGACTAAACCTCTGGTCCCAACCTAGATTGGACCCAGGTTTTTCAGTTCACTAGAATTTGCCCTGCAAAATGAATTTTCCTAGTTGATAAATAAATATTTCCATAAATTTGAAGTAAGAAAAAAAAATCTCTGAGTGCGTTAAAACAGTTAAGCCTGTAAATTAAAAAAAACAAAAACTTGCTTTGGGGGATATTTCTTGAGTGTTTCTAAGGGGGTCCTTAATGAGAGATAAAATCCACAGAGGCTGGAGGCTAGACTGGGCAGTCAAACCATCCCAAATGCCAAGGCAATGTCTCTCCATATTGTTGTCTAGAAAATGACTTGGACCATCCACAAAGATGCCAGAGTTCACTCAAGGGGATGGGTATCTTCAACTGCATTTAGCCTGGAAGGGGCCCTCCATAGCGGCTGAGGCAGTTGGGAAAAGTCTTTTCTGGCTCTGACTGTGTGCAGGCCTGCTTGGTGCTCTGTGCCAGCCTCAGGACAGGGTGGGGTTTGGGGAAAGGCTGAAGACAACCTAAGAAAGAGGCAGTCAGAGTCCAGCAGAGGGAAGGAGCCGAGAACGGCTGGGCAGGAGTTTCCAGGAACAGCCAGGGAGGATATCTGAGAGGAAGCCTTCAAAAGAACTGAATGGCTGGTTCCACACTTTGTACAAGGCCAGAGTTGTCGGCACCCTGTGCTGTTCTAAGCTGTTTCCATATGCTCTAAAGCTTGTGACTTTAAATCATAGGACACTATATAAAATATGGTTCATGCAGCATGAGAACCCAGGAATCCAACTAGTCCAGTTGGACCATTCCACAGTCCACCCACCCTGGTTTAATCTGGGTTGGTGGCTGTAGAGTGCTGACCTGGATTACTTGTCCTAATCCATGCCTTGTTTTATTGAATAATCTTGCTTTATTGAATAAGCCACAACTAACTGGATATACATGATCTGGGAGCCAGAAATCCTGACTTGGAAAAGAATTCACACAACTTGTGAAATGTGAAACAGGCCAAGCAACGGTGGCTGCGGATGAAATATGCCATGATCTCCATTTGAGCAGAACCCAGGAGATAATACACTCTTCTTTTACCTGTTTAAGGGAATTTGTTGGAATTTAGATACATACAGCTTGACTTGGGCAAAGATTTCCTCCCTAAGCAGAACTGACCTTACAAGGCAAAATTTTACCTGGCATTTAATTTTTTGAAACAAAATATTCCAAAACAGTGAGGGACTTTTATTATTGCCTATGTTTCTGCTTTCTCCAGTTGTAAAAACAAATTAGAGAGATGTTAAACCAGCAGCATCAACGCAAACCAGACTTGTAGAAACCTTGAAGCAGCTTGAGCTGGGAAGAACAAAAGTCAGCAAGATACCAATTTTCTCTTGGCCAAACGCAGTGTGGAATCTCTCTTATTCCTACTTTCTGACCCCATTCAAATCCTAATCAAATCAGGTCCCGATAGCACATTTGCCTTCCCACTTATGCAGGGGGAGCCATCCCTCTGTTTCCAGGATGCAGAGGTTGCTTCAAGCTGCCTGTCCCTGGGGAAGGTAAGTGTTTCATGCCTGCTGTGGCTGATTCTAGGCGTGTGATGGAGGCCAGGCTAAAGGAAGAGAGGAGAAGGCTGAACCATGGCCACCCCAGCCGTACAAGGCTTGTGTAGCACAAGCAGCCAAACATTTGGCCAGATCTCTTAGGGTGTGTGTTAATACAAAACACACCTGGTTTAGTCAGCTAATCCAATTCTCGGATGGTTGAAGTACAATACAATAGTTACAATATTGTTCAGCCAGTGCCAAGATGGTGTTCTGAAGAGAATGCCAAAAAAACCAGATTGTTTTCTTCTTTTGGAGGTGTGCATGTTTTTAAATGATGTGAAGTTTCTTTTAGAAATCGTTACCCTTTTTTTCCAGTTCTGCACTCCCTAAAGAAAGGAAAGCTACCCCTGATTTGGGGCAGTTTTGTCATCATGCTCTTCCTCAGCCTGCTCTCTACCCCCCCCCCCCGCAAAGAAGTCAGGCAGCTGGGAACCTGTGACCAAAGAGTGGGAAGCAAAGGAAACGTTGCAAGGGGGTTTGATTGGGGGGGGGGGGAGGGGAAGCCGATCGACCGGAAGTGAAACTGAGCAGGGTGATCTGCCAAGCAGGGGCTTGTCTGTCCTAGGAAGAGAAGTAGGTAAGTCACACTTGGTCCTGATGCAAATATAGCAAATATATATGGAAGATGGCCTTGACAGAGATATGGAGGGGCCCCTGGCCTAGGAAAAAGGGGCTGAAGGTTCTTTTTAATTTCAGAACAATAAGATAATATTTGGAACTGGCTCAGGCAGTTGCCTCCCTGATTCACTGAAGTATGAGAAGTGGAAGAAAGTACAATACAATTAGGCTTGCAAGCTTATGTCATGATAGGCAATCTCAGTAAGGGTAGTTTTTGGGTTCCTGTGGAGCTGGGCTCTTAACCTGTCCTGTCATGCGGGGCTGACAGCAAGGGCAGAGGGCTAGAGGTAATCCTCTTCAGGGGAAGGTGAAGAGCACAGGGCTTTAGCAAGCCTCTAGCAGTTACTCCTGACCAGAAAGCTAGATTCTCATTCAATTGCTTATTGCAATTTACTGTAATTAAAAAGGGATTAGGTAATAACTGAATCATAGGATTTGTAAATGGCTACTTTAGTTTTCATTTATAGATGAATGGCAGGGCCGTTCTGATGCCTTTGGCCATCTTTCTGTCTCTTGATGCATAGGCGTTATAGCAGGTATGGGGTATATATATACCTGCTATAACGCCTATGCATCAAGATATATATATATATATCTGTGTGTGTGTGTGTGTGTGTGTATACACACAATATATATATTGTGACTGGAAGGATTGACCCTGCTGGGAGTTTTGACTCTGATGCCTCTAAGGATGGAAGGTTTGAGCCTGCTGTGAATGTGGAGTCTGAATTATCAAAGGACACAGATGTGAGCCAGGAGGATGAGAGATTGTCGGAGAGACAATCCACTCCAGAACCTTCGACTTCGTACATGACAGCAGCTGATCCACAAAATGAGTCAGAGGTTTCTAGCGAGGAGGAAACTGACAGATGT